TGAACCCAGGAGGCGGAGGTTGCAATGAGCTGAGATCACGCCATTGTACTCCATCTCATAAATAAATAAAATTATTTCAAAATAAAAAGTTTTCCAAAAACCATCTAGCCTAAGCCCTCTCTTGTACATATAAGAAATCTAGGAATGCTAACTTGCAAACCTCCTGCATCCCAGTACCCAGCATGCAATAAGCAGGAGCTTATTACATTGGCCTGTTGTTTGCCAAGCAGAGAAAGATTATTGTGAATGTAAGCAAACTCCTCAGGCTGTTTTAGAAAAGGGTGAATGTGGAAGTTGGGGATCCAAAAACATTCCCTTAAAATTATCTATGCAAACGTACCCCTTAGAAAGTCTTCATCATCAGGCATGGTGGCTCCTGCCTGTAATCCTGTCACTTTGGGAGGCCCAGGCGGGCAGACAGCCTGAGTCCAGGAGTTCAAGACCAGCCTGGCCAACATGGTGAAACCCCGTATCTACTAAAAATACAAACACTAGCCAGGTGTGGTGGCGCGCACCTGCAGTCCCAGCTACTTGGGAGGCTGAGGTGGGAGAATGTTTGAGCCCAGGAGTTCAAGGCTGCAGTGAGCTGAAGTCATGCCACCGCACTCCAGCCTGGGCAACAGAGCAAGACCCTGTCTCAAAAAATATGTATTAGAAAGTCTTCATGTTCTCCAGGAATAGGGAATCCCCAAGGATGCTGTTTGGAAGAGGTAGGGAGGGAAAAACACATAACCTTACAGAATGGACATCTGGTCTCCAAAGTTATGTGAGCACCCCGAGTCATGACCCACTCTAGAAAATATGTTATTCATGTGGATGCTGACAGAGCTCTCCACAGCCCCAGGGACAGGAAAGCCCGGCTGCTCATTAATATGTGACTCAACTCCCTTTCCTGTGGTCTGCTGACTCACGCAGGAGCACTCCCGGCAGCCGGTGGAGACTTCAGGCTGTGATGCGGCGAGCAGCGCTGTCAGGGAGTCTAACAGACCTGGGGTTTATCCCAGTTATGGCTGAGCAAAATCAAGCAGGGTCCTTAAGTTCTCCCTGCTACAGTTCCATATCTGAAAAGTGTGGATAACGGTGTCTACCTCCCATTGATAACGCCGGGCACGCATGTTCAAATGAGTAACGACCACAGCAGTGCCCTCTCTGTGCCAGGAACTGTCAAGAGTGTTTCATTCATACTTAGTCCCCCTCAGTGGGGCAACTCTCAACCCCTAACCTCAGAAATATCATCCAACCCAGCAATCCCGTAACTGGCTATATACCCAAAGGTAGACAAGTGGTCCTATCACAAAGACATACGCACGTGTATGTTCACTACAGCACTAAAGACATAGAATCAACCCAAACGGCCAGCAATGATAGACTGGATAAAGAAAATGTGGCACATATACACCATGGAATCCTATGCAGCCATAAAAACGAATGAGATCATATCCTCTGCAGGGACACGCTGGAGGCCATTACCCTCAGCAAACTAATGCAGGAACAGAAAACCAGATACCACATGTTCTCACGTATAAGTGGGAGCTAAATAATGAGAACTCATGAACACATAGAAGGGAACAATACACACTGGGGCCTATCAAAGGGAGGGCAAGAAGGGGGAGAGGGTCAGGAAAAATAACTAACAGACACTGGGCTTAATACCTGGGTGATGAATAATCTGTACGACAAACCCCCATGGCACACATTTACCTATTCAACATGGCTGCACATCCTACATGTGTACCCTGAACTTAAAGTTTAAAAAAAATAGATTAAGTCCTCCCAATAAGTCTGAGAACTATGGCATTCCTTCACAATTTTTTTTTTTTTCAGATACAGTCTCGGACAGGGGCAGTGGCTCACACCTGTAATCCCAGCACTTTGGGAAGCCAAGGCAGGTGGATCACCTGAGGTCAGGAGTTCAAGACCAGCCTGGCCAACACGGCAAAACCCCATCTCTACTAAAAATATAAAAATTAGCTAGATGTGTTGGCATGCACCTGTGATCCCAGCTACTCGGGAGGCTGAGGCAGGAGAATCGCTTGAACCCGGGAGGTGGAGGATGCAGTGAGCCAAGATCATACCACTACACTCCTGCCTGGGGAAAAGAGAAAGACTCAGTCTCAAAAAATAAATAAATAAATAAATTTATCCAAAGACATTTCTCAGGGACTGCGCCAGGTGTCCTCTTTAGTCTCAAGGGCTTAAGTGCCATGTTTTGAGGTGATTCTGGTGTCTTTATGGGGGTTCTCTTTTCACCTGATCTTAGGAGTATGTCAGAACCTATAGGCTGAAACCAGCACCTTCACAGATTATCTAGACCAGGCATCCACAAACTACGGCCCGCGGGCCCGCATGCGGCCCCCTGAGGCCATTTATCCGGCCCCCCCGCCGCACTTCAGGAAGGGGCACCTCTTTCATTGGTGGTCAGTGAGAGGAGCACAGTATGTGGCGGCCCTCCAACGGTCTGAGGGACAGTGAACTGGCCCCCTGTGTAAAAAATTTGGGGACGCCTGATCTAGACCTTCAATGAATTGACTGGAAAGACCTGCTCACATGGCAATAACAACTGAATCCAAACTCACTTACACTGTCTTGGGAAATGTGAGCTTAAAATGAAGTTTATAAAGCAGTCTTTAGCTGCGCATGGTGGCTCATGCCTGCAATCCCAGCCTTTTGGGAGGCCAAGGCAGGTGGTTCACTTGAGCTCAGTAGTTGAAGACTAGCCTGAGCAACATGGTGAAACCTCATCTCTACAAAAAAATACAAACGTTAGCTGGGCATGGCGGCACGTGCCTGTGCTGTGGTCCCAGCTACTCAGGAGGCAGAGGTGGGAGGATGACTTGAGCCCTGGAGGCAGAGGTTGCAGTGAGCTGAAATCGCACCTCTGCATTCCCGCCTGGGAGACAGAGCAAAACTCTGTCTCCGAAAGCCAACAAACCTTAGAACTCAAAAGTATTGTGAAATTCAAATTTTGAAAACTCACAGAAGGCTCTGAATTTATTTTTGTTAATGTAATATTTTTACTAAAAAGAAGTTACTTTCCACTCACATTTCCCTTCTTCTATAGAGTCTCCTAAGCCTCCTCTCCAAGCTGAATGAACGCCTCACTCCTCCGCAGTGTGTCATCTGGGTCTCCTCCGTAGCACTGGTTATCCATTTAGTGACAGAGCCCACTGTGGGCCAGCTCCGTATGGAGGATGAGGAGGCACAGGGAGCTGCTCTGCTCTCAGGGATCTTAGGCTCAGGTGGCAGGAGACACAGGGCACGTCAGTCAACACACACTCCAAAAGCTGTGCAGGGACCTGGGAGGCAGGGGAGCCTTTTTTGAGACAGGCTTTGACAGCTGAATGGGATGGGGACAAAGTGTCAGAGAGAACCCTGGATAGCTGGGGAGACCTCCGAGGGGAGGGAACCACACTCTCGAAGGCCCCGCAGCAGGCACACGTTGGCAAGTTCGAGGCCAGCGTGGCTGGAGCTGAGGGAGCAAAAAGTGGAAGGAACCGAGGTCAGGCAGCGAATGAAAACGACTGGTGTGCACAGCGTGCACCCCCCGGCCCCAGCCCTCCTCTCCCCGGCAGCATCCACCCAGTTACTGATTCTTCTGTATTTAGTGACTAGACCTAGCCCATCTCTCAGACAAACCTCAGAGCGGGCCTGAAAGGCCGCAGAGCCCCTGCAGCTCCGCCCAGCCGGCCCAGGATCTTACAACACATCGACAACCTCTTTAGGAGCCGTCTTTTAATTTTCTGGGTGGTCAGCCTGAAAGACTATGCCGGATTTTCATCCGGGCCACTGCTCTCCCCCTACACCCAACACATCTCCTGTCATCACACGTGGTGGCCCAGAACCTGAGGAGGTGGCCTCGGGGTCACCAAAATGCTCTGCCCCGTCACGCAGCGGCCAGATCACAACCCTGGGAGTCATCTCGCAACAGAGGTGCCAAGTCTCTACCGCCTGTTCTCTTCACAGTGTGGGCTGCAAACACGTAAGGGATGAAGGAAGACTCACTGGGGAGTCAGGGCTATTTCTGGAGTGTAGCAGTGGGGGCTCTGGAAGAAAATCAGACCAGGCAAGATGCTGCAGGACACACGCACCGGCTGCAGAAGGAACCACCACCCCAGGGCCTCCTCCACTCTGCGTGTACACCACGCTCCACCCTAAACCCTACCCCATCTGCAGAGACACACATGCTGAGGCTACAAGTCAAAGAACCGGCTCAACCGCAATGAGCGCAGCGCTGGCAGAAGAACTGCTGCTGTTTGACACGGCGAGGGGAAGAGGTATGGAAAGGAAGAGTCAACGCCAGCGTGGAGCCAAGCGCAGTGGCTCACACCTGTAATCCCGGCACTTTGGGAGGCTGAGGTAGGCGGATCACCTGAGGTCAGGAGTTCAAGGCCAGCCCGGCCAACGTGCCCGGCTCATTTTTGTATTTTTAGTATTTCTAAATACTGCACTCCAGTCTGGGTGGCAGAGTGAGAAACTCTCAAAAAAATAAAAATAAAAATAGGTTGGGCACGGTGGCTCACACCTGTAATTCCAACACTTTGGGAGGCCAAGGAGGGTGGATCACGAGGTCAGGAGATCAAGACCATCCTGGCCAACATGGTGAAACCCCATCTCTACTAAACATACAAAACATTAGCCAGGCATGGTGGCAGGCGCCTGTAGTCCGAGCTTCTTGGAAGGCTAAGACAGAAGAATCACTTGAACCCAGGAGGCGGAGGTTGCAGTGAGCCAAGATCACGCCACTGCACTCCAGCCTGGGTGACAGCAAGACTTCATCTAAATACATAAATAACATGAAGTCTATCAATTTAAAAAAAAAAAAAAAAAATGGAGACAGCTCATTCTCCCCAAATGCAGGCATTAGACACTCTGTACTCGAACATCCTGTTTAAAGGAAGATAATGAAGCGGTGAGTTGGCGGCTCTGTGGCTCATCTGCCGTAAACATCAATTAAAGACTCTTCTTTTCCCCATGAAAAGATCAGAGGTTCACTTCACCCATGTATTTCAACCAGGTATTTTATTGGTCTGGCAACTGCAAAATATACAAATTTCTGAAAGGCATCTCCTGTTTGAAAGCTAGCACAGCTTTACATCCCAGATCATTAATTCCGACAAACACACAGAGCACAGAGAAGTCTTAAGTCACACATAGGAGGCTCCCAAACCAACTAACTGAACCCAATCTATACAGCTTTCTAGTTTTCAAGCTCCCTTATAGATATTAAATAAATAAATAGCACATCTGCTATCAAAATAATAAAAAAATAAATTTCAAGTATTACAAACGAAAATATCATTGGTGTGGTTCCAAACAGTTCTTCTGTGCTCCCAAAATGAAGAGCTTTGCCCGTGGTCTCAGGACAGAATAAGGAGAGGGGGAAACTCACCAAAAACAAACATGCCAAGTTAAAAGTGTTGGTCCCAGTGATTTTCTTTGTGTGGTGGGGAGTTGGTAAGAATCAGTAGATGCCAACAGTCCATGACTGTAGGTCACACCCACCCCTCACCCAATGTCCCCTCCAAAGGCAGGTCACTGGCTTGTTCTGCTTTCTGCAGTATCTCCCGTCCCTGTACAGATTCATGTTCCCCCTCTCCCTATCTAAGCCCTTCCCAAACTAAAGTCCTGTGTTAGGCCAAAGCTTCCGTATGTAGGTATTGATTTTAGGTAGTCAGAGGGGAGATGGGAACACAGCTTTATCAAGCCCTTATCTGTATCAAACTTCAGAGTCGATGTTCAAAGAATGAGGCCAGCGAGGGGAACATGAGAAACCACTCTCAAGAGCAAAGCAACAGGCCCTTCATGTCAAATCAAAAAATACAACTGAGTTACGCACGTTCATACACCCACGCATGCCCACCCCCACCTACACAGTCTCATGAGACTCAACATCCAGGGAGAGAGAAAACTGTGAGTCTAGAGTTGCACGGGAATGCAGACAGAGACATCTTCTTCAGCAGAAGCCAGCCAAACAGAGTGTGATGGGCGAGGGGGACTTGAATCGTTTGGCGTGAAAATCCCCCACTTGATTGTATGATATCTGAAGCACAGCCTCAGTTCCTGCTCAGTTCCAACCAGAAAAAACATGCATTCTTTAAAAGCGCTTCTTGAAAAACAAACAGCAATGGCTCCTCTCTCCACACCTAGTCTCGGGGGTCTAAATCCCCCACCCTTACCCAGAACCTGGCCCTTGAGCTGGGAGGAGGATCTCAGGGCCCATGGCAGAAGGCAGCAAGGAAAAGTGACCTTTGGCACCAGCTTTGAGATGTCTGAAAAGGGTCATTTGGACAAACTCTGCTGCCGAGTTTCCAAATGGTTTCATCTGGGCACAAGACACCCCCTGCCTCCTACCCCAGGGTTTGAGGCACTGCGGAGAAACCGACAGGCTGAGACGACAAGCCCCATGCTTTCCATCACCACACAAATGTCACAGATGCCGTGAAGGCACAACCAGGACAAAGTCCACTCTTCCGACTTCCCTAAGGCCCCAGCACAGCGCCAGGCACACAGCAGACACTCCGAGACAGCATGCAGGCAGCTCTTGAAGCAAGTGACCAGGACTGAGGCCTTGCTTGGGCCACTGTCCCCACCTGGGAAGCAGGGACAGTCATGCAAGCCCTGGGGAAGGATGCCAGGTGTTCCACTCTGTGTCATCTGGCTCCCCACCTTCAGAGGCTCCAAGCTCCCCACAGGGCTAAACACCCCAACACCTATGTTCCTGAAAAGAAGGTGTGACTCTCAGGTCACACTTCTGCCATCAAAAAAGTGCAAAAGCCGGCAGCTCCAGGAGAGTGCTTCTCTGTTCCCTCCAAGTCCAGGTAAGAGGAGAGAGGGTCCCTGCAGCTCCCTGGGAGCGGGAGGCCCAGTTCTCATATTTCAGCAAAACACTTCCTTCTCCCCCTGCGGCCAGCCTGCCCTTGGACATCTTCGGAGGGAGAACGCAGGCTGGAAGTGTGCGGATCTGCGGGAGACCAGGGTGTGGACCACAGTCAACTTGCGTCTCAGCTCAGGGACTTCCTGGAGATGAGGCCCCAACCCAACACCTGTCCAAGTCCGTTCCCATGAGGCGTCTTCCAGGACAAGATGCACCAAACAGCCACGTGGAAGATTTTAAACATCTCCTGACCTTCAGCAACTACGAGCTTGCCTCCTTTCATTTTAGGATTCTGCCACCAATGCGGTCTTCCCAGCTCTGAACGCGCCAGGAGATCGTAGAAACAAAATAAAACAAGATGACACAGTGTCCCCAGCGGCCTCTTGTCAGGACCCCAACGTTCATCACCCGCCCCAGGCCTCTGAAGGTCTCTGAAGCTGGACACTTCTAGGAAACCCAGAGAGCAGAGGTGGGGGCCCCACGGCTCAATGCAAAGCACCAGGGACCTGCGTGGCTTTCTGGTGTCCAGTGGCCGAGGTGACACAGAGGGTGCCATGCACGGTTCTCTTCAGCCAAGGCTCCCCTCTGTTCCACCCCACCCTCTCCGGAAGAAGTCCTCGGGATGCATTTTGCCTCGGGCGGAGGGCAGGGCACAAGCTAAGCTGCAGAAATGGAAATGGAATGGAACCAACACGTCTGCTTCAGTGTTTCCTGGAGGAGTCTGCGCTGCTCCGGGAGCCTTTCACGTTCTATTTTCAGGAGAAAAGAGAGGTGGGGAGGGAGTTAGGATTTGTGGCCGGCTGGCTTCTAAAGCAGAAGACGTTGAGCCATGCAACAGAGAATTCTCCCTCCCTCTACCCCAAAGAACACAATCCAAGAAAGGGGATGCCAACCCCACACGTGGAAGAGAGCCCAGGAGGGCCCCAGAACATGCTGGAAGATAACCCCAGAGTCTCAGAGAAGGGGCTGGGCGCCAGGCCAGGAGCCTGCCTGGAGGTGGCCATGTTTGGCTCCAGGAGGACTGTGAGCTTTGAGGTGCTGGGTGCCAGTGGCCACAGGAGCCTTGTGCTCACAACCTCGTAGAAATCCCACCTGAGGAGACTCACTGGCCACAGCCAGGCAGAGGATGAGCCCAGGGTCTCCAAGGACACACCGGCCCCCTCCTCCCTACTCGGCTCAAAACAGAGCTGCACTCCCAGCTCCTGCCTCCAGATTCTGGGAACACGGCTTGACAGGCAGAACACAGGTGACACATGGAGTGGCCGGATGCAGTGGGGAGGCCCAGGCGGGGAGCCAGGCAGAGGGGGCTGTCGCTAAAGCCCTGCCCCTCTTCTGATCACAGTGGCCCTGGCAGGAAGTCCCACCCCTAAGGCCCTGGCCAGTACCAACCCCCTTGAAAACATGCTCTGAAATCGGCGAGGAGCAGGGCTGACTGCCACCGCACAGCAGGGCCTTCTTCCCTGACCACCTTCAGCTACGCCCCAGAAACAAGAAAACACACAATGTCTGCAAGCATTCTGTCCAATCCCAACTGTCTCCACCAAGACTGCTCTAAAGAGGGTGGGAGAGAGCTCAGGCACACAGGGCCACCATGGCCCATGGCCACCCAACACAGAACTGGGAGGAAAGTCACATGGCTGGGCAGCATCAGAGCCATTGCCCAGGCTTGGGCCAGACTCAGGACCGGACCCAGGTGATGGGTGCCCACCAGGAGGTGATAGGTGCCTGCCAGGGGGTGATGGGTGCCCACTGGGGGATAATGGGTGCCTGCTGGGAAGAGGTGATGGGTGCCCACCGAGAGGGGAAAGTTCTCTCCAGAGCACCCTGGGTCCTCATATCTAGGGAGAGCCCCAGCCAGGCTGTGGGATCAGAGAGCAGGGCTGACATTTCCCTCCACATCTGCTGGCTCCAACCTGCCCTCAACATTACCAGCCCGTGGCTTCCGGCACCCACAGATGACGGCAATGCAACAATGACAGTGGAGAGCCTGCAGGACTGGGTGATGTCCACGTCCTTCACCCAGGGGCCCCGGCTCAGGACACGTGGGGGGTGAGAGACAGACTAGAAAGGACCTCACGACAATGGTGCTGCACTGAACACCCTCGGCATGGAGACAGATGAGCCCCGTGCTGCACGACGGCCAGTCTGCATGCAGACCCAGATGCCGTGGTGCAGAGTGGGGCGGGACAGAGGGACATGCACCAGGCATTTACCTTCCACGCTTAGTAAGGAGAAAACTTTGAGAAAATGTGACAGACAGTTCGTCTTTCAAGTAGAGTGGGGAAGAGGAAGAAACAGGTTGGAAAAGGAAGAAAAAAAATCTTTAGTAGGGTTTTCTAGTGTGCATTGGAAACTTAAAAACTGCAGGCTGTGTTACAAACACCAGGTGATCTCTCCATCCCGAGCAGCCAGCACAGCCCCCAGAAAGGCACTGCAGAATGTGGGGGTGGGGCGGCCGTCCGTGCCCATTTACCGGGAAACCAAAATTACAGGGGTCAAGACTCCAGCCCAATGGCCTTGAGACCCTGGGTTTCCCTTTCCCAAGTCTGAGTGTTCCTGCTGCCCCAGAGGAGAAACCCCTCAGGCTACAGGAGGGCACCCAAATGCTGACCCAATGCCAGTGAGCCCAGAAGTCTCCACAGGCCCAGGGCACCAAGTACCTCCCTGATAAGCTCAGCTGCCATCATCCACCATGTACTTCCTAGGGGCCGGCTATTTTGCTGAGTGCTGTATCTATATTCTCATTATAAACACCTTACAAAGTTATCTCCATGTTACAGATGAGGAAGCTGAGGTCCTAGAATTGCTTTAACTTGCCCAGAGTGGCAAAGACAAAGGCTGGCAGGAATAGAACCAAGATGCAGACCTGGCTCAGTCTGACCTTAATCATAAATCCTGGCCACAGAGCCTAGGGGGCTCCCAGAATCAGATGTGGCTACAATGCTAGATGTAGGGTCACGCACCCAGGATGGACAGGGCAATAGGACTCCAGAGTGAAACTCTGACCCGAGTCAGGTGCAGTGGGTCTACAGACGTATTTCTGCTGAACGGGAGGGATCCTAGCAAAGCCTCTATTATGTTAGTCTTGGAGATGGGTCAGATCAACTTTGGAGGGGTGGGGGCTATCCTCAAACAGCTCCTCCCAGTAGAAAGATTGCTTTCCTGACAACATCAGGCCACGGGTCTAACGCAGGGTCCCCAAGCCCTGGGCTGTGGACCAGCACCCAGTCCACGGCCCATCTGGAGGCGGGCCACCCAGCTGGAGTGGGCGGTGGGTGCACCAGCATTACTGTCTGACGCACAGGGGCACACGTGCACCCTAATGTGAACTGCGCACGTGAGGGGTCTAGGCTGTGCGCTCCTTCTGAGAAGCTAATGCCAGATGACCTGAGGCAGAGAACAGTTTCATCCCCAAACCATCGCTCGAACCCTGCCATGGTAGAGAAAATTCTCTTCCATGAAACAGGAAGAGAATTTGGTTCCTGGTGCCACAAAGGTCGGGGACTGCTGGTCTAAAGGAGCAGGACACACACAGATGTAAAACCTTCAGGCTCCAAATCCAAAGACAAGTTTCACACAGGAGAAGCCTTGACCCTGAAGTGCTACACGCCAGCTCCGGGTTTGCCCGAGAAGCTGGAAGTTAGGACGGGCCCACCTTAGGTAAGCAAAGCCTGGCCATGGGAAGCAGCTGCAAGGGGATGGCTGTGGAGGGACATGAGGGTCCAACAGCTTTCCCTCATACCTTGTGGGCTTCAGGGCAGGGGTGTTGGGGCAGTGGCAGGGAACGGGCACCCAGCCTGCTCCCAGAAGCTGCAGAGAGGAGGCAACTAGCTTCCCAAAGCAAGGGCCCTTTGTGCTCCCGGCTCTGTGACTCATCTGGATGGCACGGGGCAGTTGCCCAGCGCCTCACCCATTAAATGGGTGACTGACTGCCCTGCCAACCTCCCAGAGTGGCCTTAAGGAACATGGACATGGGGACACTGGCACATCCTCTGGCCCTTCACCCCTTTGCCACCAAAATCTGAGTGCCATGCTGAACCCCTCCCGTTTCCAAACCAGCCATGCTTGTCAGCATCTCAGGTTGCACGCCTCACACCTTTCCAGTTTCTGCAGAAATCAGTTAAGGAGCAAAAATGTTTTTGGTGGGAGGGGGGTGATCTTCATGGTGGCTGTCATTAATGTTCTGCAGCAGGAAGGAAGGCCTCTGCTCCCGGGGGAGGATCCCAGAGATGGGCACGCAGCCCCAGCTATCCAGGGGTGGCAGGAGCTGGGGCTGAACCTGAAACTCTGCAGAGAGCTCTGGGAGGGGCAGGGGCGATCACAAGGGTTGGAGACGGAAGCCACACCCAGCCCTGGGCGTGACTATGACACTCAGCAGGCTCCAACCCCGGACAAACCCAGGATCCCCAAAAAGGGTTCTCTACTCAGAGTTCTCTCGGGGCGAGGAGAGTCCTCATGGGGAGGGAGACTCTGCAGAGCTCGGGCCCCACCATGCGCCCACCACTCCCCGTAGGTCTGTTTTACAGATTAGGCTCTGAGTAAGTTTTCCTTTCAAAACGAAGGACACGCCTGGGGCAGGAGGGAGCCTTAAGGCAATGGCAGCGGGCACAGATGCAGCTCGCCACCAAGATCTGACTCTTGAGAGGGAATGTGGATTTACGCCGAGTCCTAAACCACAGCCGTCACAAACCATGACCTGGAGCCCTGAGGGGGTCACGCGGCCATGTCAGAATACACTGAACAGTAGTGGGGCCACCATGACCTCCTGCACCCTTTTCTAAAAAAATTCCTGAATCTCTCCTCCCATGCCCATCTCCTCCTTCCCCCGTGGAGGACCTCAGACCACAACACTGCTCTCATCCTCAGTATTTTAACAGGAAGGAGGCCAAATGAGCAAGCAGGAAGAAAGCGGTGCAAGCAGCAGCAATGATCAGAGAGATACTTACAGACAGGCTTGCCCTAGCAAAGGCTGCGGAGGAGAAGCAGAGAGACGAGTCAGTCGGCAGGCAGGGCGCAATCTGCTGGGGCCAAGCCCTGCAAAACCCCACGCCAGCCCAGCAAGCCGCTTCAGACATCCCGAAGAACCCGGCCACCCTGAAGGACTGTCCTCCCAACGCCAGGGCAGATGGGCAGGTGCAGACCCTGTCACTGCGTCCTATCAGGATGTCACCTTCCTACCCCAGCCTGGTCCCCCCTCAAGCATCAAAGCAGCGGCCTCTGACCTTCCAAATACAGGCCCCCATTTCCATCATGTGACAGATGCCACAGGGACACCATTTCAGTTCTGTTTGCTTTTCATAACAACCCTCAGATCTGAGACCTGCAAGGGAATGTTTATGAGCACCCTCCCGGCCCCGCCCTATCATTTGCAAAGCTAAGGAGACCGAGGGCCTGGGAGGTGAAGGAATCTGGGCGACTAAATTGCTGCCCTCGCTCCTGTTTGTTTGGAGCTACCACCAACGCCAGGCCTCCAGGCTTCCGCAAGTCACGGCCGCCTCACCGTGCCCACGGGTCCCCTCCACGTGTCCGACACTAGGCTGGGCACAGGGCATGAATGCCCTCATCTGATCTGCCTTTTGCACTGCCATTATTTCCCCATTGCCTGGATGAAAACACTGAGGCCTGAAGAGGTTAAGTGACTGTGGAGGCTGCGGCACCCCCCCAGGTCACATTCCAGACACCACCAGGTCTAAGGAAGTCTCAGAGAAGGCGAGAAGATGGGGCAGGCTGAAGAGGATGCTCAGAGCCGGCACAGGCATCCGGCTGGAAGCTGCGCTGGGCTAATTGGCAGGGTCAAGCCCAGAGGGCAGGGGTGGGGCAGACCCGTGGGGAGTACCTGAATTTGAACCCTGAAATTTCTACATCTCACATATTTCCAAGGGTTCTCGGCTATACAGGAAAAGACCAGTTTTCTGAAAACAAATCTTAATGTCTGATAACCAAAATCTTCCAGCCTGTGATCGTCAAAACCCATGAAATAAGTGAAATCGGGTTGGGTTTTGTTTTGGATTTTACTACCTGCTGGGATGACTATGTCATTTATGTGAGAAAGTGGCCACTTTGTTTTAGAAATAACCATTCATGCACGTGAATGGGTCTCGGCCACCTCTCTCCCTCTGCACTGCCTGCTTCTGCCCTCAAAGACCCCATCCTCAGACATGAGGGGAATGCAGTCACGGTTGTCACCAGCAAGTCAAGACCCCAGGGTCTCAGCTTCCGAGGGCGCTTCCCACGTTCTCCCTCAACACACGAACGTGTGCACACAGCCCCACAACACACATGCACACACACACCCCTACAACATACACATGCACACCCACATGTACCCATGCACGCATCCCTGCAGACACACACACACACACACACACACACACACACACACACAATCGCAGATCTGCGGCATCACGCCCGGCACGCATCCCCCCGCCACACCCCGGGCAGGAAGGAAAGGGGAGTGCACTGACTTGTCCAGGCAGCTGTGTGGGCACCTCCGGGGGCAGGCAGCTGGGCAGGGCGGCCGAGGTGGAGGCCACGTGCTCCTCAAAGCTGTTGATGCGAGGCTTTTTGGTGGGCTCGGGGCTGGCTAGCGGGGTGACACTATTGCGTCTCATGAGCGGGTTAGGTCCCTTCTTTGCATCCTAAGCAAGACAAAGACAAAAGAGAGAAAGGCGACAGTTACAAAGAAGGGGAGGAAAATTAGCCCCAAAAAAGTTTCTCTGCTCCTGGATTTTAGGGGAGGCAAAAAGACTAACTGAGGGGAGTGGCCAGGACCACAGGCTGCAGGACTCCCAGGCAGCAAGAATGGGGGTGACTCCCTCCCACGTCCCTTCCCCAGATGGTTCCAAAGGATTCCCCACACAGACAAACGGGGTTTGCAAAGCAAGGAGGGAAAGAATGACAGTCGCAGCGGAGCGGAGCATGAGGTCCCAGAAAAGAGCTTTGCTGCCAGCCTCTCGGAGAGCTAAGGAGGGGCATCTGGAAGGAAGAGGCGGGGCCTGAGGCTCACAGGATGGGGAGGGGAAGCCACCTGCGCGGACTCCCTTCGCTGACGCCTGAGGCAGGATCTGCAGAGCTGTCTGTACTACGCACAGGGCACCCTGGCTTAGGACGGAACATGGAACCTGCAAAACCAGCCTGGAGACCAAAGGGGCAGAAAATGTGCATCGGGGGCAGGTTCTGCCGGCCAGGACCAGCCCAGCCCTCCCACGAGAGTGACAGGGTGATGGGGTGCGGGCCTCCAGACTCAGAACCAGGCTCGTCTCTGTCATGGTCCTGCACGGAAGAGCTCCAGGACCGGCTCAGGCCCAATCTCATAGCCGGGGCAGCAGCTCCCTGACTGGGGCTGTCGTCTTATGGCTAAAGGCAGGGCAGTATCCAGTGACCCACATTCCGAAGGGGCAGGGGTGACAAGGACCAAGGCGGCCAAGGGACCTCGTCCTCTCTCAGTTCTGCCCACCAGCCAGGCAACTGCCAGCAACTGGGGCAGACAACTCATCCCTTCATGCCAAAATCTGACAGCCAAGCTTCCTGGGACTAGGACAGTCACCAGTTTCAGGATTGCCAAGACAGAAAATCACACTCAGTGTAAGAGAAAGGTCTGACTAGTACTAGTAAAGTGTTGTAGCTTCAGTAGCCTGTACACATGAATTCAAACTCACTTTCCCAACACACACCCACCTGGGCAGAGCCCACTCAGTCAGAGGCAGCCTGGCCCACCTCCAAATGTCAGGCCTCCCCAACACACAGAGCAGCTGCGCAGCCAGGCCGCAGGGACTCCTGAAACACCTTCCCCCGCGCCAGCCCCCAGGCCTCTGCTCTCCACGCCAACGTTTCAACACCACTGCATCTCTGGTGGTTCTGTACCTAATCGTGTGCATGTGACGGGCTGGCCTGCTGATCCTGTTTGAAACAGCAGCTCTGGAAACTGAAAACACCGTTTTAGCTGCCAGAAAGGAAAGGCAACAATAACCGTGCTCTGGTGATGTTAAAGAGAAGAGGCTGGGCCCAATCACTCACACCTTTATCCCAGGCCTTGGAGAAACTGAGGCAGGCGGATCACTTGAGCCCAGGGGTTTAAGACCAGCCTGGGCAACATAGTGAGACCCCATCTCTAAAAAACGAAAATTAGCTGGGCTTGGTGGTGCGCACCTGTAGTCTCAGCTACGCAGGAGGCTGAGGTGGAAGGATCGCTTGAGCCCAGGAGGTTGAGGCTACAGTGAGCCGTGATTGTACCACCGCACTCCAGCCTGGGGGGCAGAGTGAGACCCTGTCTCAAAAAAAGAGAGAGAGAACATATTTTCCTCACTAATATTCACATCTGGAGCTCAGCAGAAAGGGGAGGAAGAGGACACAGAAAGAAAGAAGAGAGAGAAGGCCCCGGAAGCTGCAGAGCAGAAAAGTAAGAACACGGAGGTGCTGAGCAAGGCGGCCAGCAGGCCCACAGCGACATCTGGGGCAGCCCCTGCAGGTGAGTAGCCCTGGGGCCTCCTGAGCACCCATCACCCACCAGGGCGACTGTGTGTTGATGGCCAGGACAGGGCTTGGGGCCTCCACTCACCTCTGACCTCTCCCTGTGGGTGCTGACGGACTCCACATTCAGGTAGATGGATTCCACACGGCAGCCTGGAGGGCGTGGGATGGGGGCAGAGGAAGCTGCTGTTAAAGGGACAGCCCTGCTCACAGCCCACAGCCACGAGGAGCTGCCGGAGCCACCTTCAGGGGGACAGGGTTTGGCAGGTGCTGCTACTCACCATAAGCGACAGGAGTCAGTTTCAGGACGGTATGAAGGGGGCATTTCAGGTAGGGCATCTCCTCTGAAATAAATGAAGTTGTACACCCACAATTAGAAATGAGAGATGGCCGGGCATGGTGGCTCATACCTATAATCCCAGCACTTTAGGAGGCTGAGGCGGGTGGATCACCTGAGGTCAGGAGTTCGAGACCAGCCTGACAAACATGGCGAAACCCCATCTCCACCAAAATACAAAATTAGCCAGGGTGTGGTGGTGCATGCCTGTAATCCCAGCTACTCAGGAGGCGGAGGCAGGAAAATCACTTGAACCTGGGAGATGGAGGTTGCAGTGAGCTCACGCATTGCACTCCAGCCTGGGCAACGAGAGTAAAACTCTGTCTCAACAACAAAAAAGAAAGAAAGAAAGAAAGAAATGAGACATGAGGGTGAGGGAGGTATAGAAGGACCTCTCCGGGCCCTCCACGAGGATCCTCGGAAGCCCTGCCAGGCAGGGGCATCTGTCCCCAGCCACAAGCTGTCCCAGGTGGCAGGGGGCTCCAGAAGACGACTTGAGCTCGAAGAGCGCCACCAAACCGAACCAAAACACTCACCCTCACAGTGAGTTAGAGTTGTCACTCCCAAATACCTGAGGTCTGTTTAGGGATTTAGCTGCCCTTGATTGGACAGACCGAGACTTAATATGACAATCTGATTGTCAAGAGTTTTCTGGGCTGTTTGTTCCTTGGAGGGCACTGAGGAGAAGGGCAGCCCCTAGCCCAACCAGAGACCCCGGATGTGTGGAGCCAGACGCGGATCTCAGGGACTATTAATGAAGGGATGAAGCCCCCTGGCATCAAGATGGGTGCCACAGCATTTCCCAAGGGCTTCAAGGAAGTGCTGGACAGAGAGGACCTGAAGCAGCCAGAGGCCAACCCTTGTGTCCTTCTCCTAAGACCCTGTGGCACAGCAGCCACCACAGGGCAGGCCACGGCCGATCTGCAGCTAACCACTCAAGTGCCAGTCCACGCCTCCCTCCATCCGGGGCTGCAGCCTGCCCGAGGTACCTGCGCTCTTATCCAGGAAGTAGGCCAGCAGGCAGCGCAGGACGGCCTGGTGGCAGATGACCAGCACGTTCTCCTGTCGCTCCAGCTCCATGATCACTGGCTCCAGGCGCTGGACCAGGTCCTGGTAGGACTGAGCACAGAGGGCCAGGCCCATGTGAGCTCAGGGCACTCGGGAGGGGCTCTGCCTCTGGACATGGCCTGCATCAGACCAGCCAGAGAGCTGTGCAAATCAGTCTTCAGTCATCAGCAGTGGTTGAGAAGGGGCAGGATTTAACATGGACTATTGCTCAACCATAAAAACAGTGAAGCTCTGACCCTCATCCAACATGGGGGAACCTGGAAAACCCAATGCTGTGTGAAAGAACCCGGCACAAAAGGCACGCGTGGCGCCTGACTCCATTTACATGGAATGCCCAGAATAGGCAGATCCAGAGGCAGGAAGCAGCCGGGCCGGTGCCGGGGCGGGGCAGGGCAGGCGGGCACGATGCTAACAGGTCTGGGTTTCTCTGTGCGGTGAGGGAAAGGCCTGGAATCCGTGGTGATGTCTGCACAGCACTGAGTGCACTACAATGCACAAAATCACAACTTTAATGTGGCGAGAGTGCTACAGTTTATGTCATGTGCATTTCCTGTCCATTTAAAAATATAAAAAGCGGCAGTAAGGGCTGTGCCTTTAGAAAAAGAACAAAGCAGCTCCTGCTCGTGCGGCCTCTCTGCTGTAAGGTGGGGAAAGGTTTGCTGAGTTCCTTTTACTTTTTGTAATCTTTCCTTAGAGCATGCCTGCATTGGATTAACGCTATCTCCAATAGATCATTTATTATAATGTATTAATATTAGGCTGTTAGTTGTCCATGGGAATTCAGATCTGATGTAAGCTTACGCTGGGGAGAATAATTTCATGTTACTAATACAAATATTATTGCTTCTATCAGGTAATAGATTAGTCCAGTGTGATGTTAGGAGTTCAATAGGGGTGGATAGGATTAAAGATAGGTGGATGTTAGGCTTGATGTTTAACTGTGCTAACCAGGGCCCCGGTGTGTAATGCCCAGTCTGAGGCCAGAGGACGGTGGGCCATGGGGACCTGAGGCACGACACTGCTCAGCAGGACACAGGTAGGGAGGACCTGGCTGGGGGAGGACACACCCGGCCCAGCAGGATCCCCTCTGCAGAGGAGACAGTAGTGTCCTCAGCCACAGCCACCTGGGCGCCGCACGTGGGGAAGCGCAGACGCTTCTCGGGGGATGTGGAGTCAACCCTCCCAGCGGCCCGCCCACCACCCCACCCAGTGGACCATCACTCGCCACCTTCCTCCTCTGCCATACAGTTCTGTGTCCTAGAGAAACACACCTCACTTCTGCTTACGGGAAAATGCACTTCTTCCCAGGCTATTAGAAGGTTCAGTTTGGGGGGCTTGATTCCGAGGTAGAGGGTGTAGGAGTCCCCAGAACCCACACGGAGCCGAACTCCCTGAAGGGGTGGCCCAGCCCCGCACAGTGGTGGCCATGGGCACTGGGGTCCCTCAGCCCGCCCCAGCCTGGCGCTCACCTCCCCGGTGGGGTAGCGGTAGTAGTACTTGTCCTGCTCCCGCAGCGCGTACTCCTCGGGGTAGGTGTCTCTGATCTCTTCGTAGGTCAGCTCCTCACAGACACCCTGCGGGGACCCAGTGGTCACTCAGGGGAACAAACCACGGGGACCACTGCGGGCATCTAGGACCTCGTGGAAAACCGCCCCATGCCCCAGGGTGAGGCTGCCCACCCGCCTGCCGGGACTCACTGCGTCAATCTCATTGAGCGCCTTCCACTGCTCATAGGGCAGCCGCAGCGCCTCAGCCGTCTGGATGGTGCTCTTGAGCTGGCTGGTCCACACTCGCAGGTCCTTTAGGTTCTGCTCCTCCACGAACTTGCTCAGGGCGCTGGCAAACTGAGAGGTGGAGGAGAGGGGCCGTTGATTCCAGGCGCCTGTGGCTCCTCCGAGGGCCAGGGGCTAGAGGCAGCCCCTGACGGGGCTGTGCACTGGTTACACTTGGGGGCCCAAGCCACTGGGACAGCCACAGCAGCACACACCCTTCCCAGAGCCCAGGCTCAGCTCTTCCCGCCCCTCCCCTTCCTAGTGCACAATTGCTCACACACCACAGACACACACACACACACACACACACACAAACACATAGGTACAAAGTAACACAAACACAGACATACATACAAAGCCACATGGATATGCATAGACACACACACACACACACACAGAGCCATACAGAGATGTGCACAGACACAGATATGCACAGAGACACCCAGGCGCACGCATAACACACACAGCAAGCACACAAAGCAGCAGCAGCAGCACACACGCCCCCACCCACCCGCAGACCCCGCGACCGCCCTGCAGCCAGCACGGCCCACGCCTCAGCACAGCCCGCACCTTCTTGCCGCGGCTGGACAGGCCCGAGTCGCCCCCGATGCGGCCCTGGAGGTTGTGCTCGTTCTCGCCGTGCCGGCACAGGTAGATGGTGCGCGGCTGCACGTGGATATTCATCAGGTAGTACACGATGCGGCTCTGGATATGGTCCTGCACCCGGTTCACCAGGAACCTCCGGCCCACGTCGATCACCTTGATCAGCGACAAGTCCCTGCAGAGACACCGCCAGGACCGCAGCTCAGGCCCCGCCCCATGGCAGGATGCACCGGCCTGGCCCTGCCCATCTCCAGAAGACGTGTTCCCCAGGGAACAGCAAGGCTGGACTGCAGGTCCCTCCCGGGCACAGACCGAATCCTTCTAAGAGACAGAGAATACGCGTGCAACAACTTCCATGGCCGGTGCTGCCCGTGAGCCTAGTTGGCCTCCCAGAAGAGGGAGAGAAAAAAGAAAATGGAGAAAAAAAGAAATGGGACTGTGCAGTGGCTCGGGCCTGCAATCCCAGCACTTTGGGAGGCTGAGGCAAGAGGATCACTTGGGTCTAGGAGTTCAAGACCAGCCTAGGCAACACAGCAAAACCTCATCCCTACTAAGGAAAAAAAAATAGCCGGGCATGTTTACCCACACCTGTAGTCCCAGCTACTCAGGAGGCAGAGGCGGTAGGATTATATGAGCCCAGAAGTTTGAACCTGCGGTGAGCTATGATCACACCACTGCACTCTAGCCTGGGAGACAAAGGGAGACCCTGTCAAGAAAGAAAAGAAGAAAAAGGAAAAGGAGAGAGGAGAGAAAAGAAAAGAAGGAAGAAGGAAAGGAGAAAGAAAGGAACTCTGAGAGGGTCAGTAGCAAGATCACATTCAACTCTACACTGACTCCCTGTACTTCCACACAGTGTTCAAAATATTCCCACCGAATATGGTCACCAAGGATTGTTTTTAAAAGATATCTTCCTCAGCTGGGTGTGGTGGCTCACACCTATAATCCCAGCACTTTGGGAGGCCCAGGCGGGTGGATCACTTGAGTCCTGACCTCAAGTTCAAGACCAGTCTGTCCAACACGAGGAAACCCTGTCTCTACTAAAAATATAACAATTAGCCAGCGTCATGGCACCCGCCTGTAGTCCCAGCTACTTGGGAGGCTGACACAGGAGAATCACTTGAACCCAGGAGGCGGAGGTTGTAGCGAGCCGAGATTGTGCCATTGCACTCCAGCCTGGGTGACAGAGCGACACTCTGTCTCAAAAAAAAAAAAAAAAAAAAAGATATTTTCAAAGACAGTTGATAAAGGTATCCAGCGGCTGTGTGTGATCACCTGAGGCCAGGAGCTCAAGATCAGCCTGAGCAACACAGCAAGACCTCATTTCTACAAAAAAAACTGTCTTAAAAAAATTTTTTTTAAACGTAGCCAGGAGCAAATGCTTTCTGGGAACTCAAGAATGCAATAAAAACCCGCCTGTGGGTCTTGCAGAGACGGCCAGCTACGGGAATCACCTGTCGCATTTGTCGGGGTCAAGGGGCTGGTAGCTGGCTTCGTAGCAACTGATCCGCTTCATGAAGTCGTCCATGGCTTCTGCCGAGTTGCAGTCTTTGTAATCCGGGCTGGAGATTTTCACTTCCTGCAACACCACAAAGGGGCAGCTGATGAATCACGCTGGAAGGCTTTCTGCTGAGATTAAGCAGGATTTGGGGCTTTCAAAAGGGGCGCGCACAGAAGGCTCAGTACAAAGATTATCCGGCCCAGCGTGCAGCAGAAAGGGAGAAAGATCCTGGGGGCTGAGTCACGGCCTGATGTTACAGGAGGAGGATTTCCCGGGGAGATGGAGAACTGCAGCGGGAAGGACAGAGACAGAAAACCCACAGAGAATCCATAATGAACACCTCTGAACAGTCCAGCAAGTCAGGATCTGTCCCGTGCCCGAGTCACTGCCAGACAGCCTGGCGCTGAGCTCAGCAGAGTTCCACGTGGGCACCTGCAATATTCCCCGCGCCGGGAGGAGGCTGCTGGTTCTCAGGTGCGCTCAGGAGTTGCCAGAGATGCCCTGGTCTTGTGTGGATTCCCCTCCACCAGCCACCACCCAAGGCAGCCCCAGCATGACCAGTCTGCGGTTTAGCCGCTTCTCCAATTAGGGCTCCTTTGCAGGGCTGGCTCTCCTAGGCAGAGCCAGAGCAGAAGCAAAGCAGGTCTACCAACACCCACAGTGGCACAGGCCCCAGAAACCACGTGGACTTTAGGGAAACCCAGCATTTTTGAATGTCTGGGCTCTCTTTCCCATCAACCAGTGTCATCACTGGGAGGCAGCCACTCTCTAAGACTCAAGTCAATGGGGAGTTGTGTCTGTGTCCTGGCAGTTTCAGCTGGGGAAGATGAGAAAGTCCCAGTAGAGAGTGTGGCGCTTGCCCAACTATGGGCACAGAATTTGCTGCTGAAGTGCACACTTTAAAAAGTGTGGCTAAGATGGTCTGGTGTGGCGGCTCACACCTATAATCTCAGCAGTTTGAGAGGCTGAGGCAGGTGGATCACTTGAGGTCAGGAGTTTGAGACCAGCCTGGCCAACATGGTGAAACCCTGTCTCCACTAAAAATACCCCAAAAAATTAGCCAGGCATGGCGGCACACGCCTTGGAATCCCAACTACTCGGGAGGCTGAGGCAGGAGAATTGCTTGAACCCAGGAGGCAGAGGCTGCAGTGAGTCGAAATTGCGCCACTGCACTCCAGCCTGGGTGACAGGAGGAGACTCCGTCTCAAATAATTAATTATTAATAAAAAATTATTAAGATGGTAAGTAAGTTCACAAATGCCTGGATCTGCAAAGCGGCTTTGCGATTTCATCAGAAAGAGATTTCTGAACGTGGCAGGCTGGGGCAAATGAATGCTAGTAGACAACCAGACAAATGTGAAAGTCCTTGCTAAGCACATGGGAAACCGCTCGCTGGAAAAATGACTTCCAGCTGCGCTCTGCTGCCCTCCTCGGGGAACGAGGAGCGCCAGGCCCGAGGAAGTCGGCAAATCCTCTGTTTAGGTCATTTCCTTGAACTCCGAGCCGCCTCCTTTGCACCCACCGGGCACACCTAAACTGACTTTTCACAATTCAGATAGCCCTTCCTGAAGCAGGAATTCATTTCTTAGAGATATCTAGAAGTATTTCCATCACTTTGGGGAAGATCCTGTGGCTAACACATGCTTAGCATCCCCTCCAAAGGTGCAAAGATACCAACACCACAGCATCCCAGTCTAAGTCTTCAGAACTGCTTTTCTTTATAGAATTGTTTTATTCCGATTTGTTTAAGCTGAAGAGAAAAGTATCTCCAACAGAGGGTGGTGACCCGTGGTAAGTCTCCATAGTAACCAGTCCTGTTTATGATACCACTGCTATCGAGTGGTAACACTGGAGAAATTCAAGTCACAAGGTCAAGTGCCCACAGTTTATCGGGGCAAGCTCCCCGGCACAGCAGACGGGAAGGTTTGCAGCATGTTCACGAGATGCATCAGCAGGAAGGGTCTTACTGCCCAAACTCAAGAGGCTGCTGAGCCCTCTGGACTCTTGTCAATGCAAAAGCATTCTCACCTCCCGGAGCCGTCACAGCAAGCGACACACTTGCCGCCTCCTGTCCCATCTGGGGCCAATAAGCTGCCCTCTGCCCCCAGCAGCCCCATCACCACTAGCTGCCGGCCTCCTGCCACCAACAGAAACTGCTCCTGTCTCCCTGAATTCTTTTCTATGTTCCCCACAAGCCTGCCCACTGCCCTGGAAGGAGCAGCCAGCCCCTCACAGGACAGGCCTTTGGGTTCAAAACCACTCTGCAGGTCTGAGCTTCCAATCAACAGCAAGCTGGGGGCCGCTCATCCTAAGGGCTCAGCTGCCCCTCCGAGCCCGACCTGGTCCCCACTCCCTCACACTGCAAATGCCCTTGTGGTCTGTGTGGCCACGGGAGCACAGGGTTCCTGGCTGTCTTACCATGATATTGGAGGCCACAACAGTAGGGTCGTCGCACACGGACTCGATGAAAAACGCCTGGTGGAAGCGAGGCAGGATGTTAGAAAACAGACACGGCGAAGGACTGACCTTGCCATCACTGCCACGTCCTGATCCAGACAAGGCGGACGCACACCACCCACCAGCTCCCAAAGACAGGAAAGCCCACCTCCTCACTGCCACCTCCGCCACCGCCCCTCCGGAACACCCCATTCCCCCAAGAGCTCTACCGCACGGATGCCCTAATTTAAGGCAGCAAAACGTGGGCAGCAGGAGGGGAGGGACCGAGCAGGACTCAGGCTGCTCCCCGAGGTCTCTTCCTCTCCGGAGCTCTCTGGCTCAAGACAAGACACTCAGCTCACCTTAAAGTCATTTTCTTTGGCAAAATGAAGGATCATGTGTCTCCTCTCTCTGGTAGTATTGGTGGCATCGAAAACCTGATGTGGAGAGCGAAGGGCCGAGAGGAAGACTCTAAGTTTGAGTTTAACATTTACCAGAACAGCAAGGACGCCAGACCCATCACCTCCAGCAATAAGCCCCCAAAGCGTTTCCAGGGGAGACGGTGCTTGCCCACCACCCGCTCCAGGGCATGCTCACAGGGCAGGCCTCCCCCACTGCCAACAGCACTCAGGGGTGGTAGTGTCGGGGGAGTACCCCAAAAGCAAACAAACAAAACAGTAACGTGCAGTGGGACAGTATACAAGGAAGAGCCAGTGGTCCTGTGAGCAGCCCAGGTCCTGCCCACCCTGGACGTGGGGGACTGGGAGTCTGCCATCCCACATCCACTTTCCCGAGCCCCTGCTTCTCTCCACCCTCAGGGCCAGAGGCAGGAGTCTTGATACAGCCCAGGCCAGCGCGGACCCCCTCACGGGTGGGACGGGACACTGAGCTGGCTACATTCCCCGGACTTACCGCGATTTGTCCCCCTTCTTTTGCCAGGTAGCTTTTGACATCTCTCAAGGCAGCTAAGGCACACTGCCTGCAACACACAGAAAAGAGACGCCGAACGTCAGCACGGGTGCATCTGCTGGAGCAGCCCAAACAACCCCCCAGGCACCCCAACAAGCAGAGGAACTGGTGGCTCCATCTACACTGCTCAGCGCTGGGCAGCACCCCTCAGGCCCAGAGGCTTCCAACCCGGGCCCCTCGCAGGCAGCTTCGGGCACCCTCGGGAGGGTGCTGGTGCCGGGGGCTGCTCGGGGAACCACTCCTCGGGGAGCTGCTGAGAAGTCGCTGCCCAGAACCACCCAGAGTTGTACTGACTGGTCTGGGGCAGGCCCTGGCATCAAGGGCTTTAGATCCCCCAGGAGGCTCCAACGCACAGCCACAGCCGAGCACCCTTGCACTAGGGTTTCACATCAACTCGCACTTAACAAGAAATCCTTTCCAAACAGGAAGGGACACTCCCGATGAGCAGGACTTGCTTATTCTCAGGGAGAGCGCCGCTGCGGCTCAGTCCCAGGGAGGGTCAGTGCTGTGAGACCAGCAGGGAACAGAGGACAGCAGCAATCTCGAGGGGGTGGAGGGTAGGGCGGGGCAGGGGAGCTTGTTCCCACACCGCACAGGCCTGACGGCCGCCAGCAAAAGCCACCCCTTGGGCCGGCATTCTCTGCCCCCTCCAGAGCCTGGCTCGCAGCACAGCAAACCCACAGCCGCAGCCTTACTTCCGGACTCGCATGGCCTCCTCGTTGTCAGGGCGGAAGAAGCTGTAGCTGCTGTAGTGCTTCACGGCCTCCCGGCGGTACTCCCCGACGTTGAACACTGCGGGCGGGAAGGAGGACGGCCCGGTCACTGAGTGGGAGCGGGATCACGGTATCCAAAGGAAGAGCCGCCTGGCCAACCACACCCGCTTGAATGGACGGGGCGGCGTGGAACCAGTGCGGACGCCCCGCCCTGAGCTACCCTCAGCTCGTGGGGACAGCAGCCGCAGGCCGCCTGGCTTCCCCAGTCCCGCTGCAGTGACACCACCGCAGGCTCTGTGACACCGTGCCCTCCAGCCAAGTCTACAATCCCAGTCTCACGATGTCCTAAACCAGAGACTGAGACTGTGAGAAGGGGTGGGGGAGGCCCCAGGGGTCAACAAATTTCCACCCACGGTGTCAGAAAGCGAGCAAGGTCTCACACCCACTGCCAGGCCTAGCTCAGCCCTTCTGCGGGCACAGCGGCCATGGCCAGGGGAATGTGTTCCACGGTTCTTGGGCACTGAGCTGGGAACAGTGGGGATGGTAAGCATAAAAACCATCCCCCCAAAAGAGGGGAGGGTGGGAGAGGAACAAGGGTTACAAAATAACCAGTTGAGTACAAATGCTATGTGGGTAACAGGGTCACCTGAAGCCCAGTCCCCATCAATATGCAATAGACTCATGTAACAAACATGCACATCTACCCCCCGAATCTAAAATTTAAAAAAAAAAAAAAAAAAAAAAAACAGTCCCCATCCACAAGATGTTCCCCATCTAGCTGGGAAGACCAACCAGAGATTCATAAATGCATCATCTACAACAGCAGCCCCCATCCTTTTTGGCACCAGGGACCAGTTTCGTGGTAGACGGTTTTTCCACGGACAGGGAGGGGTTGTGGGTGTGCAGCTTTGGGATGAAACTGTTCCACCTCAGATCATCAGGCATTAGGTTCCCATAAGGAGCACGCAACCTAGATGCCTCACATGTGCAGTTCACAGTACGGTTCACTCCTGTGAGAATCTAATGCCACCACCGATCAGACCTGAGGCAGGGCTAGGCGGGAATGCTCGCTCACCGCCACTCACTGCCACTCACCTGGCTCGGTTCCTAACAGGCCACCGACAGAGCGGTCCGCGGCCCAGGGGTTGAAGACCCTTGATCTATGGTATGCGGTCTTAGGGCCATCGGCAGAGCAATGTGAGTTACAACTGAGTGGTAAGGAATGTGAAGGACCTAGGTGGCCGGAGATGGCTTGGAAGGAAGTGAAATCTGAGTCAGGCAGGATTTAGGGGAGTGGGAAACAGAACGGCCAGTAAGAAAAAAACCTAACAGATGAAGGGTGTAGACACAGTGTGGAGGCGACTGTGGCTACACAGGAGGCAGGATCAGACTCCCCAACCTGGGGACAGATGCGCCCAGGGTGGTCCTGCCCGTGAAATCAGCAGCTGAGATGGAAGGTCAAGTTTTTGCACGTGCAGGGGATCGGCCTCGAGACCCAGCCTCACCTTTTGTGGGGACGCCAATCCAGTTGAGGTAGCGAGTCAGCTTCTTGGAGATGTAGGTCTTGCCCCGGGCAGGAAGGCCCACCATGACGATGACCGTGGGAGAGTTGGTCAGCTTTGGCCCACAGGCTGCAAAAACAAGCAAGAGGGCGTGTCACTGACCAAGTGACTGAAGAAGAGGAGCACAGTCCACGACCTACAGTAACGCCAAAGAATTTCACCAACATTTTTCTCAGGTAGGGTCTCACTCTGTCACCCAGGTGGGAGTGCAGCGCTCTTCACGGCCCACTGCAGCCTTGAACCTCTGAACTTAAGTGATCCTTCCGCCTCAGCCTTCCCAATAGCTGTGACTACCACCACCATCCCTGGCTACTTTTTTTATTTCTGTAGAGATGGGTTCTCGCTGTGTGGCCGAAGCTGGCCTCGAACTCACGGTCTCAAACAATCCTCCCAGAGTGCTGGGATTATAGGCGTGAGCCACCACACCCAGCATTCACTGAAGTTTTTATTTCATCTCCCCATCCTGAAGCCCGTGGCATTTTACCAACGAGGGTCACCAGGCAACCCTAGTGGCCGCAGCCCCCAGCCACACATTGTCGCTCAGTCTTGCCTTTAGGTTCTACTTGGCAAAGACCGTCCCAACCCCAAATTCCCAAGCTGATAGCCAGGGTGCTAAACCTGGTGGGGAACCAGTGACTAATACCACAGGGGAAGTGGAAGTGCTCCTGGGGGTGGGAGGAAAGGATTCCTCTCCCCAGGGATGGTGGGGCTCATAAGAGAGTGTAGTCCTCTCTTGGACAGAGGGGCAAGGGGCTGAGGCCCAGGGGGCCAAGAGATAGAGAGTCCCACCATCAGTGTCCAAACCTCCACACAGGAGGTACGGGCAGCATTTGTCAAAAAACATCTTAAAGAAGGCAACTGGAGTTTACAGCCAGGCATGGTAGCTCGTGCCTGTAATCCCAGTGCTTTAGGGGGCCAAGGCAAGAGGATCACTTGAGGCCAAGAGTTTGAGACTAGCCTGGGCAACATAGCAAGACCCTGTCTCTACAAAAAATAAATTAAAAAAAAAAAATTAGAAGAAAACGAAAAGAGTTTATCAAATGAAAGTAAGTCAGAGAGCCAGAATGCTAAAATCACCCCCCAGCAGACAGGTAAATCCTCCACCACTGAGCCTCCCACACCCTGTCTGACCCCTCTTCTGGTGCCAGGCTCTGACGAATGCTGGGGCCCTGCCAAGGGAAAAACCAGTCACGAAGCCCCAGGCAGGGGCCGGCTCTACCACCATCTCCAGGTAGCCTGGAGACGCTCTGGCCCGCCAGTTCCCTCCTGGCTTCTGCTGCTACACAAGGGTCTCTTGTGCCTCAGCATCTCAGTAAGACAAAACAGCAGGGAGTGGGGGGTTGCTGGGTTTTGCAGAAAGCAGTCAGAAGAAACCTATTCTGGAAGCTGAAAGCCCCGTATTTCCCCTGCTATCACCTGGTTCTGAGACTCTTAGGCGACTCCTGCACCCGACCAACATGCAAACTCCAGGGCCAGATGTGGCCTGCCAACTCCCGCCTGGGCGGTGCTGCCCAGCGCTCACTGCCACGCAGTCAGCCTGGACTGGGAACCCATGGTTCCCAGATGTGGCCACACGGCCTGCAAGGAAACCTCTGAAAGCAACCTCTGAAAGCAGCACACAGAGCCAGGCAGACGTCGGACCGACACAAGCCCTGACATCCCAGTGAGCGGGCTTAGGCTAGGGGGAGCCACCACCTCACAGAAGGGCACTGGCTCAGGGAGAAGCCCCTCTGTAAGCTGGACCCCGCAACAGGGCTCCAAACGGGAGTCAGTGTCCAGGATCTGCTCCCAGGCCTGGAGGCGGGGTAGGGAGGCAGGCATGGTATGCAGGGCCTTTGTTCCCTCCATGCTGCTTGGAGACCATCAGTGACCTTCTCAGCAGGCAGTGACGAGACAGACAGGCTATTGGGATCAGCAGACGCTCAGGAGATGCTAAAAGCCCTGGGCTGGCATGCCCTCGGCATCCAGTGACCTAGAACAGACAGGTTCCTCGAAAACAGATGCTTTTCACTGACCGGAGAGCCGGGCATCCTGAGCACATGAGTACAACAAACAAGCACAAGGCACCAAGGGGCTGTCTTGTGTCCCCAGGGCACGGAGAGAGGTGGTGGCCTCCCTGAAAACCAGCGAGACACACCCCACTGTGCCCAGGGTCATTCTGGCGGCAGTTGCAGCTGCCACATTGGAGAAGTGGCGCAACCGCTTGGAAACAATGCCCATCCACTGACTCTTCCCCCAGGCCAAGGGTCCCTCCTGGTCTCACCAGGTGTCCCCACCGTGCCGCTGCTCCTAAGAGCACCCAGAGATGCACAGAGACAGACACACACACATCCTCTCAGCTGTGCATATGCGTGGAACATTTCCATCAGAACCACCCCAAGGAAGCAGAGGCTGATTGATTTATCCATCGGGGGATTATGTCTACCCACTAATCACAGGAACAAATCTCCTCTGGCAGTAGACATTTGAGGAGGGAAAAAACAGCAACATAAGGCAAACGTTCAGACTGGATTTCAAACCCAAATAAACCCCCAGGCCCTTCTTGGCAAAGCAGAGCCATCCTCCCTGTGCACTGGTTTCTCCCAGAGGAAGATTCAAAGAGGGGCGCTAGAGGTGTTTGCAGCTGTCCATACCCTCAGATGTCCCCAGGGTCATCACAAACCCTTACTAAACCTTTAAGTCTTACTCTCCAACCGCTGCCCCTTGTAAAAACTCACAGTGCCAGGCGTGGTGGTGAGTTTTGGTACTGTAGGCTTGTAGACAGCCAGGGCTCACGCCTGTAATCTCAACACTTTGGGATGCCAAGGCAGGCAGATCCTGAGGGCAGGAGTTCGAGACCAGCCGAGCTGACATGGTGAAAGCCCATGTATCTCTACTAAAAATACAAAAATTAGCCAAGTGTGGTGATGCATGCCTATAATCCCAGCTACCTGGGAGGCTGAGGCAGGAGAATCACTTGAACCCCGCAGTCAGGGTTGCAGTGACATCTCAAAAAAAACAAAAACAATAAAACACAAAACACAGTACACCACCTCACACTTCTAATTCCATGACCCTCAGTTTCTTCTCTTCTCAATGGGCCTTTGTAACCACCAAAAAAGAGACACTCCCTGCCTGCCTCATGACCTTCCTTGGATCTCTGCCCAAGGCACAGTCATTAGAAAACCTAAGTACTGGACAGGCATGGTGGCTCAAGCCTGTAATCCCAGCACTTTGGGCGGCAGAGGCGGGCAGATCATTTGAGGTTCGAAACCAGCCTAACACGGCAAAAATCCCATCTCTAATAAAAATACAAAAATTAGCCAGGCGTGCTGGCCGGCGCCTATAATCCCATCTGCTGAGGCAGGAAAATCCCTTGAACCCAGGAGGCAGAGGTTGCATGAGCCGAGATTGCACCACTGCACTCCAGCCTGGGCGACAGAGCAAAACTCTGCCTCAATAAAAAAAAAAAAAAGTAATTGAGTTTAACACAAGATTTCCCAAAGAGTAACTGTGTGTCCCATTTCATTTTATGTAAATGTTTAACTTCTTTTTCACACACACACAAAGTTTTGAAAGTTGTGAAACTTTTGATGTCAACTGAAACACGCATGGGGGAACATAGATGTCACATGTTACAGGGGAAGGAAGCAACGGCGTATAAAGACCCAGGGTCACAGACTAAATACCCGAATTGAGTCTAGGGGACTCACGCTCAAAGCATTGTCATGATTAAGACCATGGTCACTTGGGTAAGACCTCCCAGAAAGTCACCAAGTCCCAGGAGCAGAGCTTCAATTCTACAAGGTCACTACGTTCACGACACGCTCGCTCACTGGCCACAGGCACTAGGTTTATACCCTGGGTCCCCATGAGACAGAGGCTACTTGGAGAAGACAGGGTCAGCATTGCTGAGTAGTGCCTCTGGGCTAAGCCCTGGCTGTCTACAAGCCCGCAATACCATTAGTCTACAACACAGGCTGCCTACTGGGACCCATTCCCGGCAGGTGAACGCACATAGGAAGCCAAAGGAAAACTGAAGGCTGGCTGGTGAACACTCAGCCACGGGATACAGTGACACAAGGAGCCAGTTATGGAAAGCAGCAGCCAGATGGATGGAGAATCCCCCACCTGGACAGTGAGAGGCTGGCACCCCTGGGTTCCTATTCCTGCTCACCCAGCTAGATTAAGTTACTAACCTCTCTGACTATGCAATGCCTGGACAGACAGCAGCAGCCCGCACAGCATGCATCCCCCACTGACCCAAACCTTAACGCAGAATGCATCCTAGAAAATAAACCCTAGGGGCTACCCAGGGATAAGGTAGCGATTTCTCTAGGACACCACCGGCCCAGCTTCCTCAAGGTAGAATACCATCAGCCGGCGTCACTCCCTACAGAGATGAAAGTCTTTCATCCAGGCCGGGCGCGGTGGCTCAAGCCTGTAATCCCAGCACTTTGGGAGGCCGAGGCGGGTGGATCACGAGGTCAAAAGATCGAGACCATCCTGATCAACATGGTGAAACCCCGTCTCTACTAAAAATACAAAAAATTAGCTGGGCATGGTGGCGCATGCCTGTAATCCCAGCTACTCAGGAGGCTGAGACAGGAGAATTGCCTGAACCCGGGAGGCGGAGGTTGCGGTGAGCCGAGATCGCGCCATTGCACTCCAGCCTGGGTAACAAGAGCGAAACTCCGTCTCAAAAAAAAAAAAAAGTCTTTCATCCGTATTTGGGTACAACATCAACCTTTCCTCAGACTTAATTTCCTGCTGTGTCCATCTAAATCCTGAGCAAAGACAAGCTGGCAGTTTGTCTCATCCCACTGTATTTAAGGTGGGGGTAGTGGGGGAGACCAGGTACAGTGGCTCACACCTGTAATCCCAGCACTTTGGGAGGCCAAGGGGGCATCGCTTGAAACCAGGAATTCGAGACCAGCCTGGGCAACACAGCAAGACACCGTTTGTACAAAAATACCTTTAAAAATTAACTGGGCACAACAACACACACCCATAGTCCCAGCTACTTGGGAGGCTGAGGCAGAAGGATTGCTTGAGCCCAGGAATTCAAGATCGCAATGAGATGTGACTGCACCATTGCACTCCAGCCTGGATGACAGAGTGAGACCCTGTCTCAAAAGACAAAGTTTGGTGCTTTAAGAGGCTGTCTTTCTACCTGCTGTTTACAACCCTGCACTGACCAGTACTAATCTCCCATTTGCTCCACTGATGATGGCAATTCCTGAGTTAATGCCAAGTCCCAAGCACTGTCTTAAGACTCAGCCCGGTACCCGGGACCCCTCACTGTCCTATTAAGTAAACAGTAAGACAAGGAAACTGAGGTTCTGAGTGGATAAATAGGTGGCGACTTGAACACAAAGGCTCTTGAATTTTAGGGATGATGAAGAGAAAGGAAAGCCAGCCCTTGCCAGTCAAAAAGGTACTTCCTGCCCATTATGCTGACTCACAAATTCAGCCAGTCAGCAGGAGCTACAGGCTACATACAAAGGAAGCTACACGTTTTGTAAGAAACATCTACCACCATGTTGCGGTAGCAAGAAGGCATCCCATTAATGTGCCTCTGAGGCAGGAAGATCACACAGCTCGTGATGTGGTAATGTCTGGTTGTTCTACTGTTCTTTGTCTATAAACAGCAGCATCCTAGACACCCTCCTTCAGCAATAAACCTCAGGGAGGCTGGGAATGGTGGCACCTGCCTGTAACCTCAGCACTTTGGGAGGCCAAGGTGGGAAGATCACTTGAGGCCAGGAGTTCAAGACCAGCCTGAGCAACACAGCAAGACCCCATCTCTATGAATTCTTTTTTTAGCCAGATGTGGTGTTGCATACTTGTAGTCCTGGCTATGGGAGAGGCTGAGGTGGGAGGATCACTTGAGCCCAGGAGTTGCTGGTTACAATGAGCTATGATCACACCACTGCCCTTCAGCCTGGGTAACAGTATGAGATTCTGCCTCAAAAATGAATAAATAGATAATAAACCTCAGGGGACTCTACTGCAGACCCCCAATGAGAAGAGTACTTATAAATATGGCAACAGGTTTAGAAGAAAGAAAACCCACCCACCTGGGCATGGTAGCTCACGCCTATAGTACCAGACTTTGGGAGGCCGATGTGGGTGGATCACTTGAAGTCAGGAGTTTGAGACCAGCCTGGCCAACAAGGCAAAACCTTGTCTTCACTAAAAATACAAAAATTAGCTGGGCATGGTGGTGTACACCTATAATCCCAGCTTCTTGGGAGGCTGACGCATAAGAATCCCTTGAACCCAGGAGGTGAAGGTTGCAGTGAGCCAAGATCTCACCACTGCACTCTAGCCTGGACAACAGAGCAATACTCCATCTCGAAAGGAAAGAAAGAAATGAAAGAAAGAAAGAAGAACAGACCCACTCAATGTCCCAGATGCCATTAGAGAATTGAGGAAGGGTATCAGGAAAGATGCCAAACAGACATACCTTCTTCCCTCCATTCCATTAAGAGATAAATGTGACTATATAAACAGAAAGATACCACCACTTGAAATAAGGGCATGTGATGCCCAGGCTGCAGATCTTTTTACAAGAAGGAATGTGTCTGAGACTACACCCCAAAGCCACACAGGAGGATGCCAGTAGTGGGCGGGACAAGAGAATTAATCCATCAGCTTTAGCCAAACTCCCACCCTCCAGCTCTGAATGATTCTGATAGGGATTCTTAGGCAAATCTCTCACTGTATGCAGTGAGACGTGCAGGTTGATGGAATCCAGTGGATCAGTATCCAGGCCTGGAGGGAGGATGCCTTGCTGCACGCTGGTGTTTCTCAAAATCACTACTGAGCTAATGCCAGCTGATCTCAGAGCCCTGGAAGACACAGGATGCTCCTCCCAGACCGGGTGCATACGCATGCGATCACATGTATGTACATATATGGACTAGCCCACATTGCAGTTTACCTAGTGCTATAGAAATAATACTTGTCTCATGCAAAAGTTGTTTCTGCATTTGGCCTTGGCCAAACCTCCCTGGAGATTTAAAGATATTCATTCCACATCACTTATAGGTTTTACACCAAGACAGCCATGGGCCACCCCAGTTAAAGTGCATCTGACAGAGCTGGGCAACACACCTGCAGCCCCAGACCTGGGAACCACAGCCCTGGGCACCCCAGCCCTGGGCCACCTCACCAAGAGGAGGAACAAGACCTCTCTTGAGGGCTACCCCAGAACTCTCAAGTCCAGCAGGATGGACCTGCTGCCGTCCCCACCCAGGGCACACCACGGGGGTGGGTGTGGGGAGAGGGGCAGGTCTGGACGAGGCCGGTGATTCAGACCGGGCAGGCCTCCAGAGGAGCTGTCAAGTCCCGCAGGGGCCGTCCTAAGAAACGTGGCAGCCGGGCAACCCTGCCAGCCGCCTGCACTCAGGCGCCCTCGAAGGATCCGAAGCCACCTTGACAGTTTGCACCTGGATCCCACGATCACCGCTCAGGCTACAACCTGACCTGGGCGAAACCGCACCAGGCGGCTCCCTGTCCAGCCAATGGGCGCTGGAGCGCATTACCTGGAGAGGCGGCATCGCCTCTCTGCGCTGCCCACCCGCCCTTTTCCGCGGCAGGGCACTGCCAGCCAATTCTGAGCACCGGGGAGTGCATGCGCCCAGGGCGCGTGGAGCGGCGCCAACCGTGCACTCACCAAACCACCCACCCTCCCCAAAGCCGGAGGCACAGGCGTGGCTCCAGGTGGCTCTCCTGGCGCCCCCAGCACGGAAGGGCACCCCCAAGACGCTGGGGATGCGCAGAAGAGAAAGAAAGAGATAAAAGCAGAAAGAAACACGGAGTGGGAGAAGGAGGAGGTAGAAACAGAGAGAGAGAAATAGAGACCTATATACGAAAGAGGAAATAGGACAGAGAAGTAGGTTACTAAGTGAAGAGAGGCGATAGAAATGCATAGCAAGGGGGGGAAGGAGAAGGAAACAGAGGCAGAGAGGGGAGACCCGGACGGTGGAGAAAGGCGGAGGCGCGAGCTGCCGGGTCGCTGGCCGCGGGCGACCTGGGCGGGGGTCGGGGACAGGGATCGTGGAGGATGTGGGCCCCCTCCCCGGCCTGGCCAGGCTCGCGCGTCCGCTCGGTCTCAGCGCCCGCAGCCCAACCGGGCGCACTCCCCGCTTCCAGGCCGACGGGGCAGCCACGGGGACCGAGCCACAGCGCCCCCGCCGCCCAGCCAAGGACGCGCAGCCCGCGGCCTCCGCTCCGCCCAGCCGGCCCGACCCGCTCGGGCGCGCCCCCCGCAGAGGGGCGTCGGCACAAAGCCGCCCCACACAATGGCTCAGCCCCGCGCGGCGCGCCCTGCAGCCTTGCCCCGCGCAGCTGCACTCACATCTGGGCAACGAGGGCCGGTGGTCCACGGGCACCCAGATCTTCTGCACCCGACTCTGGGTCAGTTCCAACGGCATCTTCGCGGCTGAGCCTGACTGCCCGCCTCCCGGGGCCGAGATGCCGACTCCGGGCGGAGAGCGACCGCCGACCCCCGGAACAAAGGAGGACAAGGGGGCGTGCGCCGGCGCGCGGCCGGGCGTTCCCTGCGCTGCCGGGGGAAACGTGCTTTGGGCTAAGTCCCGGACTCTCGCCCGTGCGGGGCTCGACCTGCGCTTCGAGGGACGCGGGGCTGGGGATGCTCGGCACGGCCGGCTCGCCCGCTCGGGAAGCTCAGAGATGCTCGGGCGCAGTGACAGCCGCGCTCCAGCCACCGGGCCCTGACGCTCGCCTCCTCTCCGACTCTGCTGGGATGCCCCGCGCACCGCCCGCTTTTAAAGAGCAAGGGCCGGCAGCAGACGCGCACGTCAGCCTCGGGGCGGGCCGCATTCCTTGGGTCCCAGCCCCCTTCCACGTGGGGAGGAGAATCCGCGAACCCGGAGGCGGCCGGCGGGCTCCCCCTGCGGGCCGGCGACGGCGGCGCGCCAGCTTCTGTCGCCCAGCCCCCGGCCTGGAGCGCGCCCAGCCCAGCTGAAGGTCCTGGCTCCTGTTATCCCCGCGTCCCGTGGTTCCCTCGGGATGTCTGGCACAGCTTCTCCGAATAATTCCGGCCCCTCGCCGCAACGGTGCTGGCCGGGAGGAGGGCAGCGACGCAGTTCTGCCCAGTGTGGACCCCGCAGCCGATTCCCTGGGGAAGCTGCTTAAGGTGGATCCTACCAATTCATCTCCTTGAGGGCCGTGGGGCCCCAGTACTCTGCATTCCTAACACGCGCTCCGGGGCAGGTACAGTCCAGGTAAGGACTTGGGCCAGGCTGCTCCCTAATAATACCCGCGAGCCCATCACCCGCCACGACCCGGGCCACCCGCGGGGAGGAGGCTTCCCTGGTCCTCCTTTCTACCTCACCCTGTCCACTTTCCTGAATCCCTTAGAAACCTGGATTTGAACAGAGCCTTGCTCCCCCTCCCCTAGCCCTAAGACCGGGAACCTGGAGAGTTCCGCGGTGTGGGGCAGGAGGAGGGGCGGGAAAGCCCCGGGGAGCTGGACTGGAGTGGCCTGCGGCGGCGGGGAGGCTGACATCTTGGTTTTCACACTCACCATGTACACCATTCAATAAACCTTTATCGCCCCGAGTAGAAGAATGAATACAACTAGACCCATTTCCACCTGTAATTTGTTCATTACCTCAATCGAGGGAACACTATTGGGGGCGGCCCCTCATGCAAACCCCTAAAATTCACACCCTTGTCCCGCATACCCTGCAGCTCGGCCTCCCCGCTTTTTGGTGTTTTCGTGACCCCTCCCCTCGGCCCTCGCAGTTTGCACCACCAGCTCACGACCTGTGATAGTCGTGGAGTCCGGCCAGAGGCGTGCGGGGAAGACCTGGGCTGCTCTCGGTGGGGAACCGCCGCCCGCGCCGGGGCACGACCTGGACGTGATTTCTGCAAACTGAGCCTCAGCACAGGAGCGCCGCGCCGCCTGGCCGAGAGGTGCACACTTGGCCTTGAGGCTGGGCCGTGATTGGAGGGAAGGCGGCGCTCGCTGAAACCGACACCGCCGCGGAAAAGTCTGCGCAGAGGCTGCCACACGTTGCTCACGTCCCGCATGCTCCGCCGGGAGGGCGCCCGCGCCCAGGCGGCGACTCCCGCCCCGCGCGCCCGCCCCGCCCGGGCCTCCACTCCTCCCGCCCCGCCGCCTACCGAGGGGCCCCGGAACGCGCAGCGTCGGCCACTAGGCTTGTGCCCAGCCCCAGCCCCAGACCCCCTCACCCCCGCCTCGGCCCCCACTCCGGCACCCCGCCCCCCTCTCCGCCCTCGCAGAGCCCCTGCTCCCGAGACAGCTTTGCTGACTGCCTGGTTTCGGCGCTCGGGTGGCTGTTCAGAAACCCGATGCGTTGCGTTTGGACTTGTTTTTCTGCAGTGGGAGCACATGCCAGAGGCGACACCCTGCCAGGGGAGAGTCCCACTCCGCTCCTGAAATAAGAGTGGGCTGACCCTAAGGAGACTGCAGGCCGCGAGATGCCACCGGAACGAGTTCCCGCCCTGGGGTTCGCCTGGGTCGGCGAGGGCAGCTGCTCCCCTGCAAAGAGCGTCCGCGGTTCCCGGGGAACGACGATGCACCGGCGCGCCCGCTGCTTGCCCACCGATTTTGCACACCTGCAGGCCAAGCAAGCGGACCAGGGGGCTTTCCAACACACTCCCTCCAAACTTGCAAACACATTGCTGGTTTCAGCTCTTGGGGAGAGCAGAGAGACGGCGTCTGCCTCAGCAGGGGAACATCACTAATCTCCTGACCTAGATAACGCATCTGACCGCGGCCAGCTCTCAGGGCACAGGGAGCTGATGTCCCGGAGGTCCAGCTGAGCTTTCGCAAACTGGGCACTTTTCCTGCTTGTCAACAACGCTTTTCGCGTCGGGAGGGAAGACTATGTTCTTCCCCATTCTCCTCCTGCACTTGCTACGCAGCAGCCAAAAGGAAGTTAACTCAACCCCCTCCCGCTCCTTACATCTAAGTGCAAACTGGGAGTGCGTGGGGGTCAAGGACAAATGCACCCTTGCTTTCGTTGTTTTAATGGCCAGCTAGAACTCCTGGTAGCCTTTACAGCTCCAGGTGAGATAGGGTAGAGCCCTCATGAGAGACGGATCTGCTTTACTCCCTACAAAATCTCAAACAACCCAGCTGCAACTGTATTTTGGTAATTTACTGGTTCAGAGTTTACTAGTTTGGACATCCTCCTAACTCCTTCCCAGCTCTGCCAATACCCCATCTTACCCCGAATGTCCAACTACGGCATCGCCATCTTCCCTGCTCCTAACCTGGGTATCACAAAGGCAGTCCTTCAGAAAACGCCCCCATCATGTAAACGTTCCTCTAATACAACGATTTTTTTTACAACTATAACAATACCAAGGATAGCGCAGATTAATTATTTCTCTTAGGTCCTGAGTCACGATCCTAGAACCTGTGAAAGACAGAAGGAAGCTTCAGGACTGCCTAGTCAGCCCCACTTGCTTTATGGGAAGAAGTAAAGGGAGTTGAGATTAGAGAAGTCAAGGAACCAGGTCAGAGATCAAGGAAGCAAGCCAATTAGCAGCAGGATTTGTTGGGTCTGGTTCCCCTCCCCCACTACTTGACACAGACAGCAGATAGCTAGCTCCCTAGGAGACCCATTATAGGGCCACCCTAACCCCAGGGTGCTGAGTGGAATCTAATTTAGGAGCTGATCAGGGTGTGATTCAGACACCCACAACAATTAAGCTGTTTGGAAAGGAAAGACAGAGAAGGACGTTCCCTGAGTAGAATGAGACATTAGCAGGGCAATTACTGAAAATGATCCTGGCCAGTGCAGTGGCTCACACCTGTAATCCCAACACTTTGGGTGGCCGAGGCAGACGAATTGCTTGAGCTCAGGAGTTAAGAGACCAGGCTGGGCAACATGGCGAAACCCCATCTCTGGGGAAAAAAAAAAAAAAAAAAAAAATAGCTGGGCACAGTGGCTCACATCTGTGGTACCAGTTATTTTGGAGACTGAGGTGGGAGGATCACCTGAGCCCAGGAAAGACAAGTTGCAGTGAGCCAAGATCGCACCATTGCACTCCAGCCTGGGTGACAGAGTGAGACCCTGTCGCACACACACAAAAAAATTCCAAGCAAGTTCCTGGTGAGGTGCTTGCTCACATAGCCGAATTCACTGAGCTCCGTCCAGCCTTGAGAGGACAGTGGAGTGGTTTTTCTCCAGGATAACCTTTGTTCCCACACTTCTGCGCCAGCCAATGTCATCTAATTCCTACCAGAGCTCCCAAATGCTGCTGTAACAATAGCCACAAGCAACCAAATTTCCATGATCCTGTGCCAGCCATAGCCAGTTTTAAATGTTCAAACCATGCTAGGACCTACCCCCTGCCCAGAGGGATACAAAGAGAGAGAGGACAAGCATGGCAGGCTGGGAGCAATCAGAAGTTGCTCATCAGACACCAAGTGTCACTATTTGCTCCTGTAAAAAATCGCATTTATGAGAGAAAAAAGTGAGCCACCAAACAAAACACTGAAACCACCAAATCCTTCCATCATCAAAGACCTTCCATCATCAATTACTTGTAACCCATACATGATTGGGAACAGACCAAGACTATCCACACAATGTCACATCAGGAGTTCGAAAAACCAATTCTAACATGCACATGGATGTTTATACCAGCTTTACTCATAATTGTTAAAATATGGAATCAACCAAGATGTCCTTCAGTAGGTAAACAGATAAACTGTGGAACATCCAGACAATGGAGTATGATTCAGTTCTAAAGAGAAATGAGATAGCAAGCCATGAAAAAAACATCGAGAGGCCAGCTGTGGTGGCTTCTGCCTGTAATCCCAGCACTTTGGGGGGCTGAGGTGGGCGGATCACCTGAGGTCAGGAGTTCAAGACAAGCTTGGCCGAGATGGTGAAACCCCATCTCTACTAAAAATATTTAAAAAATAGCTGGCATGGTGGTGCCCAGCTGAGGGACGAGAATCCTTGAATACAGGATGGGGAGGTTCCAGTGAGCCAAGACCGTGCCACTGCGCTCCAGCCTGGGTCACAAAGTGATATTCTGTCACAAAAGAAGAGAGACAGAGTGCAGGGGGAGGGAGAGGTAGAGGGAAAGGGAAGAAGAGAGAGAGAGTGAAAAGGGAAAAAAGAAAAGAAAAAAGACATGGAGAAACTTTAAACACATACTATGTGAAAGAAGCCCATTTCTGAAAATGCTACATACAGTAGGATTCCAACCATTGGACATTCTAGAAAAAGCAAAACTATGGAAACGATAAGAAGATCAGTGGTTACCAAGAGCTGGGAGCAAAAGGGATGAATAGGTGGAGCACAGGAATTTTTAAAATGAAATCGAGACAGGAGCCTCACTAAGTTGTTCAGGCTGATCTCAAACACGTGAGCTCAAATGATCTTCCTGCCTTGGCCTTCCAAAGTGCTGAGGCTGCAGGCAAGAGCCACTGCGCGAAGCACAGGATTTTTAGGGCAACGAAACTACCCTGTGCTGTAATAGTGTATACCTATGATTATACATTTGAACTCATAGAATGTACAACAAGAGTGAGCCCTAATGTGAACTGTGGAGTCTGAGTGATAAGGACGTGCCAGTATAGGTTAATTGATTGTAACAAATGCACCTCTCTGGTGGGGATGCTGATAGTGGCGGGGCTGTGCGTGTGTGGGGGAGGGGGTACAGGGAAAATCTCAATACTTTCCACTCAGTTTTACTGTGAACCTAAAACTGCTTCTACTTTTTAGTAAGTCATATATATAATTTTTCTGGCCAGGCACCGTGGCTCACGCCTGTAATCCCAGCACTTTGGGAGGCTGAG